AGGCATATACCACCACACCCAACTGCTACTCATTTTTGAGGAATGACTGTCCAGCTATGCTACACTACTGAAAAAAATAAGTCTTATGGTGGAGCTTTTGGATTCTTCTATGTACAACATCATGTCGTCCACAAACAATGATAATTTAACCTTTTCCTTTCCTATCTTTATTGTTTCTTTTCTTGTCAAATTGCTATGGCTGTTTCCAAAACCGTATTGAAGAACTGTGGTGGTATGGACACCCTTGTCATGTCCCTGATTTTAGAGTGGAAGCTTTCATTTTTTGACCATCTAGTATGATGTTGGTTGATGGTTTGTTATAGATGGCTTTTATCAGATTGAGATAAAGACCATCTAATCCAGTTTTCTGTAGTTTTATCATGAATGGTTGGACTTCTTCAAATGCTTTTCTTGCATCTATTAAGATGATCATGTGATTTTTGCCCTTGGCTCTGTTGATATGGTGTATACTTTTATGGATTTGTGTCTGTTGAACCATCACTGCATCCCTGGGGTGAATCTTACTTGGTCATAGCATATGATCTTCTTGATGATTGGCTGTACTCTGTTTGCCAGCATCTTATTGAGGATTTTTGCATCTATTTTCATTAGAGTGGGCTGTAGTTCTGTCTTTTGCTTGAGTCCTTCTCTAGTTTTGGTATCAGGGGGTAATACTAGCTTTCAGGAATAACTTTGGGAGTATTGCATGCCTTTCAATTTCATTGGAGTTTGAGGAGTAATGCATTAGATCTTCTCTAAATTTCTTGTAGAAGAGCCAGCCAAATAGCTCAGAGGATTAAAGCACCTACAAGCAGATACAGGGACCAGGAGTTTGATCCCCAGGCCTGCCGTGCTGGCCCCACCCCCAGAGCATGCTGAGATGGTGATTGAGACTGTGTGTGGTAATGCGTCCCTGTAATCCCAGCTCTTGGGCGGCTGTAAACAGGCAGATCACTATGAGTCTGATTTAGTATTAAGACCCTGAACACTATGTAGACCCTTCCCTAAAATACAAATAAATAAGTAAATAAATTTATTGTAGAATACAGCTGTGAATGTATCAGAGACTAGATTTTTCTTTGTTGGCAAGTTTTTAATTACATTTTTTATTTCATTGACTCATATTGGGTTATTTAGAATTTTTATATTTTTTTATTCAACTTTGGTAATCCTATTTGTTCAGTGTTTTCCATTTTATTAAAGTTTCTCCAAGTAGATATTGACAATCTTTTGGATTTCACAGGATCAGTTGTAATTTCATCTTTTTCATTTCTAATTACATGAATTTGAGTTTTTTCTTTCCTTGATAAGGTTGGCTAAGTGTTTATCAATTCTATTAATTTCTCAAAGAACCAGCTCTTTGATTCATTGTATTGTTTTCTGACTCTCAATTGCATTAATTTCTGCTATCTTCTTCATAATTTCCTCCCTCATATGAGCTTTGTGTTTGACTTGTTCTTCTTATTCTAGATGTTTGAAGTTCAAACTTAGGTTATTTATTTGAGCTTATTCTGTTTTCCTGATATGGGAATTCATCACTATACATTTCCCTCACATGACTGCCTTTATTGTGTCCTCTAAGCTCTGGTAGGCTGTATTAACATTATCATTTAATTGTAGATACTGTTTCATTTTTTTCTTTAATTTTATTTGTGACTTATTGGTTGTTCAGGAGAGTATCATTTAATTTCCATGTGTTTTGTAATTTTTGTGGTTTCTTTCATCATTTATTTCCAGTATCATTGTACTAAAAACTGGTAATATGTGTGTGATAATTTCAATTCCTTCCCATTTAATTAAACATGTTCTGTGGCCTGTTTGTGGTCTATTTTGGAAAATATCCTATGCACAGCTGTAAAGAACATATATTCTGATATTGTAGAGTATAATACTCAGTAGGCATACTAAGTACACTTGCTTACAGGCTTAGTTCAGTTCTGATATTTCTTCGTTGATTTTTTATTTAGTTGATTTATTTGTGATATTAGGGTATTAAATTTCCCCCATTACAATTGTATTATTGCTTATTTTTTTCTCATATCCGTTAATATTTGCTTTATGCAGTTGGGTGCACCTGCATTTGGTGCATATATATTTATGATTGTTACTTCCTATTGGTGTTTTCCCTTAGTAAGTGTGTAGTGACCTTCATTATCTCTTTTAATAAGGTTTGGCTGAACTGCACATTGTTTGCAAACAGAATAATTACTCCTATTTTTCCTGAGTTCCTGTCACATGGAATATTATTTTCCATCTTTCAACTTCCAATTTAAGAAATTCTTTTTTAGTTAAATGTGTTTCTTATATTCATATTGTTGGATCTCATTTCTTCATCCATTCTGCTGAATGGTGAATTGAGACCATTTATACTGAATATTGATCTATCTATCTATATCCTTTTTGTATTATTTTCCTGCTGATAGTTTCCTGTCTTGCCCCTCTATTTAATTGCTTGCCCATCCTGATGGCTTCTCTCTATTGATATTCTGGAGATTATGGCCTCTGAGCTCTCTTTCTAGACTATCTTTTAGAACATTTTGTAGATCTAATTTATTGGTCCTAAATTTTTTAGGTGTTCTTTGTCATGGAAGTTTCTTATTTCTCCATTAATTCTGAAAGATAGTTTTTCAGACTACATCAATCTTGATTGCATGTTGTTTTCTTTCAGGATTTGAAATACTTCACTGCAAGCTTTCTCCCAGACTTAGATATTTGTGTTGAGAAGTCTGCTGTGATTCTGATGGGCTTTCCTTCATAGATGATTTTTTTCTTTCCTCTAACAGCTTTTAATATTCTATTCTTATACTGAATTTCTGGGATTTTGATTATTATATAGTTTAGTGTTGATTTATTTTGGTCATGAAATCTAAGTCTGTTCCACCTGATCTCCCATCGTCCTTCCTGGAGGATATTAAATCAGATCCCAGATGTCATGTAGTTTCACCCAGGAACATTCTAGCTTCTAGCTTCATCAGATAAGAACATGATGCCATCTTCATACCCTCCCCAAAGTGAAGCTGATTGCTAATATGATTTAATAACCAATCCATGCTTAGAGTTTCTCATTGATTTGCAGTAGTTTTACAATCAGATTATTTAAATCAGGATCCAAAGTTCACACATTGCATTTGGTGGCTATTTTTCTTGATTTTAATCTAAAACAATTGTCTTTTCATTTTACCTTAAAAGTATTTAATTACAAATGGAGAATTCTTATTTTCATAGCTTTGAATTTGCCTGATTCTACCCTTGAACTGGTGTTTAATATGTTCTTCTATTCTCTGTATTTCCTGTAAGCTGGCAGTTGGATATTTAAATATGATTCAGCACATTTATAGAGCTTTCACTAAGTGTAAAGATTGAAATACTAAAGAGGCAGTATTTCATTGATGGAAATATGGACCCAGTCAACAAACAGAGGGTTGAATGGGTTATAAAGTTGAAAGACGAAGACCATTTTCAGAGAGCTTACTGTATGAAAGAGTCATTAGACCACATGCCACTGTCAGCTAGCAGATGGTGACAAGTACCTCAAGACATTTATAAACAGGAGTGCAGAGGTGGAAGCTAATTTTTAAAGCTATATAAAATTGTTCAGAAGTTTTAAAGCCAATTTCAGGTGTAGAGGAAATAGTAAACTACTAATTTTTTAAAAGGTCTTTCCTGAGGAAGGCAAGCTTCTTTTTAAAAAAAATTTATTCTTTTCTATTTATTGGGTACAGGGTCTCGCTATACAGCTCACACTTATACAGATCCTACTGTCTCAGCCTCCCCAAGACTGGGATTACAGGTGTGCATCACCGCGGCATGGCATGTGGTACCAGGCGCTGAACCCGGGTCCTTGCACTTGTAAAGCAGGCACTCAGACCACTGAGCTATCTCCCCAGCCCCTTGTTTCTTGAGAAGTATGTCTTAAAGGAGGAAGAGAGAGAGAGAGAGAGAGAGAGAGAGAGAGAGAGAGAGAGAGAGAGAGAAACTTTGATTTGCCATGAACTTTAGTGGATTTTATTTATTTGTATAGGAGTTCTATATTGAGCTAACATGTACTCACTATAAGGCTAGGATCCATGGGGGTGTCCATCACCAGGTGTTGCATAGAGTATTCCAGGTGCAGAGAGGGGAAGCATCTGGCATAAGCTACTTCTTAACTCTGTAACACAGCCATTGTGAGTTCACTGTGTATCAGCCGGTTATCTACTCAGTAAGCAACTCCTTCCCGTTGGCCTGGCTCTGGCATCTGGATGGTGCTGCAGAATTAGCAGGCCTGTCCTGCCCTCCCCGACTTTGGGTGGTGAGGAAGCTGACCCCCATATCAGAGACTACAGTGTGAATTTGCTGTGAGCTGAAAAATAGAGGAGAGCTAAGGCAAAGATTCATGCCTTGGCCCTGAACCTTCTGCTTTTACCTTTCTTCCTGGCCAGACAGTCAACAGTGCCTGGCCCTGCTCTTTCCATGTACAAAACTTTCACTTAAATATGAAGGAAGGTAAAAATCCCCTTTCAATAACTTTGAATAGCTTAGGAGACAAAGGTTCTCACAGACACACAGTAACATGTATATTGGTAACATCATGTGTATTTTCTTTATTCTAACTTCTTAAAAAGGTTTCGTGCTAAAAAGCACTTTCCAAGAAATGAAAAATAACAAGAGCCTAGGAAGGGTTCACATAAGGAGATCCTGTCACTGATTCCTACCTAATTTTCCTGCCAATGGGGCAGGATTTTATCCCACGTATCTCCAGGTATCAGCTCTTTACTAAATAAAGGACTTCAGGCCATCTGTCAATAATCCTGACTATCCATTCAAGTTCAGAAAGATTACTATGGAATCTAGGGATAGGAGGCTGCTATGAGTAAATGCACTAGGGTATTGTTCTCAGAAGAATATATAGAGAATGTGTATATAAAGAATGTATGTGCCTAATGATTTATTAAATTATGAAGGTGTTTGGATTTCTCCTTTGTGTCTTCTAACTTTGTCTGTTTTCTCACTTTGTTTAGATAATCAAAAAGTCTATTCGCTTAGGTGGGGTGAAGTTAACCTAATAAGCAACTGTTCTCAGTATTACCCAAATCGCTACTATGAAAAAGAAATGGAGTGTGCAGGTAAGTGCCACGTAGGCTTTTGTTGCTGTTACTTTAATAAAATAATGTGGGCTGGCACCTTTTTTTTTTTTTTTTTTTTTTTTGTTGTTGTTTTGTTTTTTTTTTTAATTAAAAAAGGGCTTATTTAGTTCACACTTGTAGACTTCAGGGCAGGGGACACCACAGATGTAGGCATGTGCCAGGAAGTAGGTGACCCCACAAAAGGACAGGAGGCCAGGAAAAGGGAGAGGGCCAGGCTTGCTCCTTTTGTGACAACTGGCTTAATCCCGCTGGCCCAAGACCTTCCTGTAGGGCCACCTCTTAACCTGACCACACTGAGGCATAGGGATCCCGGGAGAAAACTCAGACCATTCCAACAGTGATTGAAAACTTTCACCAGAAGGTGAGAAGTGTGCTCCCATGTTGAAATGGAGCTCAGGACTGCAGTGGGTTGAGTCACACAAAATCCGCTAGAAGCCAGGGTCATAGGTAAGAAGACAGACTCTGAGGTTTGTCTGCCTAGGGTTCAAGGTTGCCACATTAGCTCATCTGTTTGTGCTTTGTTTCATCTGTTAAATGGGCAAAATATAATTTACCTCATTGGCTTGTGGTGCAAATTAAAATACTGTCAGGAAAGTACAAGAAAGCCGAATATTCATTAAACCCATTTGCTGGAGGAGATGGGAAGATATGGCATTCTTTTTTTTTTTTTTTTGATATGGCATTCTTGATGGACAGAGGGAAACGTCTGACTTTCTCTTTCTTAGGCACAACTGATGGTTCCATTGATGCCTGTAAAGGGGACTCTGGGGGGCCCCTCGTCTGTACAAATGCCAACAACGTGACTTATGTTTGGGGCATTGTGAGTTGGGGTGAAAACTGTGGACAGCCAGAGTTCCCAGGAGTTTACACCAAAGTGGCCAATTACTTTGACTGGATCAGCTATCATGTGGGAAGGGCTCTTATTTCTCAGTACAATGTCTGAAATGGTGATCTTCCTACCAGAACTTTCACTTTAATTGAATCAAACTGTAAACTTTTCTGCTTTCCTTAGAGAAAAAAAAAAAAGGAAACAAATTTTACTAGATACAGTATCATTAAAGTTCTCATCAAAGTGTTTGCCAAATTGGAATTTTTGCTGTGCAATTCTCAAATAAATATTTTGGTCAAACAACACTGAGCTATACTTCAGCCTACATGATTTATCAGAAAATTTGACTAAATTATCTCTGCATGTCAGGGTGATGTGTCCACTCTATTAAAGGTTTAGCTCTTTGAATGATATTGGCATTACATGGAGCCTGGGCTCAAACCCCAAGTGCAGCACCTGCTAAGCTTGACCTTGGGCAGTTGATCTTCTTTGTGTCTCATCTTCCATCTATGACATGGAATGTGTGAAAACAATACTACATACTTGCGTAAAACATTTGGCACTGCACCTATCACAGAATCATAACCGTAGGGAAAAGACAAGAGTAAAGGCCTTAGTGAGCGTTATTAAGGTCAGTAGGGAAACTTATGAAAAGCAGTTTCTGCCTGTACTGGTAGTCTCTGTAGTTAGGGAAATTAGAACGACAAAGGAGGGAAGGAAAAACTAGACAGAGGGGCACGGGGTAACATAATTACCATGAAAATTTATTAAGACGAGTTAACACTGAGGAAGCCAGAAAGGAAAGACCAGGACAACCAGCTCCCTCCTCCACCTGACACATGCAACAGTGGTAACAGGCAGACATCTAAAGACTCTTAATATGTAAAATACATTTGTATGCACGTACAGCTACACGTATACACAGAAATACATGTTCTCACTTTAACATCAGTACTGTGTCAGATCCACAGGCCCCCTTTACTTAATCATTATGTAAGCTGCCTTCCTAACACCCTCCCCTTCACTTTTTCATTACAAAGGGACAGGAAGAATCAAATGGTCAGAGGGACTGTGGGGAGACAGGCCTGGGGTCAAAGACAATCCAGGAAACATCAGAATCCAACAAGTCCTACCCAGGGGACTGGAAGGCAGAAGAACAGAGAAAGGACTTCCTGGGCTTTCTGCTCTGAAGCCCTCTAGCACCTCGGGGGCTGTCTATCCTCTTTTCTTTCCCCCAAATAAACCATCCTGTGTTACATAAACCTTGCCTTTTTATAGCTTTTGCCGCTGCCAGGTAGGGTCGCGGGGAGCTGCGTTTTCAGCAGCGCAGTGATGTCGCCTGCTGAGCGTGATGAGCTGGCCACCCTGGACAAAGGCAGCCTCACAGTTCTGGGCTTGTTTTTCTGCTTCACTATTAACATTTCTAAAAACAAAACAAACAAACAAAACCTCTGCCTTTGCTCCCTCACATTTTGCAGGTACTCTTTTGCCCTTTCTCCAAACCTCTCCATAGACACTACAACTGGACTAGCAACCTCAGGGAGTCAAATGTTACTGCAAGGACAGGTGTCTCGATCTCATCTCATCTTGGAGTCTTTGTAGCCCAAACAAAGAATAAAGCAGCATGCAGAGAAGTAATAGGAAAGGCAGAGATCTAGTAAAGGGAAAGTATGCACTTTAGCAGGAGTGAGCTGATGAGAAAGCTCGCCGACCCACCGACTCAGCACAGGCCAGCCTGTTTGGGGTTTGAGACTAAGGTGTGCTTGAGAGTTCCAAGCCAGTGGCCCTGCCAGTAACCAAAGTCCTCCCTTCAGAACGGGCAGGCAGAGCCAGAAGTGGTAACTCCAATAAGCTCTGTGGTTGGCTTTTCCTGGAATGTGGAGAGTTGTCAAGGGGGGTACGATTGAGAACCTTCACACTCATGTCCGAAGGGAGGGAGAGTTCTTGATTTTCTGTGGGCTCTGATAGAAGAAGCATAGCAATCAAAGCCCACCCACAATGCTAGCAATGTTATAATGGTCTTGGATTAGCCTTGCTTCCTCTAAACTGCAATTACAGGGCATACTCCTGGCTCACATTGAAGAAGGAAGTTAAAATTTTAAATGACAGCTTGCCCAGGATGCCTGCCAAGACCCAGCTGGCATGTTGGTAGGTCCCATAGCAGAACATTTATTCCTGTGTGTAACCCCTGTCTCTACTGCCTTTGTGTAACTGACAGCCGTGCAATGTAACATAAATGTAACAGGGCATTTCTTCCTTTCTATATCCCATGCTTTGTGTAACTGGCCTTGGAATGTAACTTGAGAGGTTCAGACTCCTTCAGCAATCCTCCAATCATAGACATCAAATCTGCCTAGGAACCTCCCCAAACTTTCCCCAAACCTCTCTAAGTTGGGCTGTGGCCCTCTGGAAGAGATTCCAGTCTGAAGCCCACAGGTGCCTCCCAACCTTTTCAGTGCCATTTCTTTCCGGGTTTGGTCTGTTTTCTGCAACATCAGAAATCTAGGAAGTGCTGTGAAAGAGGCAGGAGTGTACTTTTAGGTTGAAGTGTGGACCTTAGGGAAAGAAGGTGAGGGTAGGGCCCGAGTCAGGCTGCTAAGAAATATGGTGAGGACAGGGTGCCCTTTCGGTCTCCAGGAGCTGGAAGGCATCCTCCTCTGCTGTGAGCCTTTGGCTGGGCTGTCTGCCACACTCAGACCTCAGGACCACAGTGAATGAGCACCCTGGTCCTAACCTCTCCCCGAGACTGCTGTTCTCAGCTTTCTTCCCAGCATCTTTTCTCACTTTGCCAGTGATAGGTACTCAGCACAGCAGAGAAACAGGCAGAAGAAGGGAAAGGGGCTTAATTTCTTTGAGGACACAGGGACAACTGGAGGAAGATATATTCTCTCTCGATTGGAACAAGGGGACATTGAGGCTTTCATGGCCTTTTGTCAGGGTTGGAGTTTGGAGGGGATGTTTAGATTTACCTGAGGGAGCTGACTGGGGTCTTTCCTGAGGCAGCAGGAAGGGTGGAAGTAAATTACATCTTAGGCTAAGTTGGAGGACGGAGGTAGTCTTGGGGAAGATGGGCTTTGTTTTAAGGGCTTCAGCCATATTAGATGACCACCACGATGATTTTAGCAATCATAGTAGGGCCTGAACCTAGCAACCAGCAACAAAACGATTCTGAACACTTGCAAATCCCAACCTGGATCCTATGAGAATATTCTTGGGAGCAGCTGGGTTAATGAGAAAACTAGATATTTATAGCCCTGGTAAAAAGTAATGGAGTCGTTATTTGTGGATCTGGAAGAGAGACTTGGAAAAAGAGATGTCACTGTAACTATCAAGTTACAAAATAGCCTTGTGTAGGAAAATAGTGATTTCCTCAAGTTTTGTTGCATTCACATGCAGCCTGAAGTTTCCTTACCAGAAAGGGAAAAGTGAGTCGTACTATCACATCATTTTTTTCTTGCACAAAGTCTAAACCAGCATCTAGGTTACCCTGGTAACACTGGAGCACCACTATAGCCCTGGGCTGACGTCATTTTCCATTTTCCCCATCCCCCAACTACACCACCTGCAGTCACAAGGTCTGGGCAAGAACAGGAGGTGGCAAAGACTTCTCAGGGTCAATCTGGCTGGGCCTGTCTCTACATCCAACAAAGCTCATCTATCCGGCAGGCAGAGCTACACCTGGTGAGGCAGGTCATGGGCCTCGGTCTCCACTGCACTCGGAAGAGACGGGGGTGATGGAAAACGATGGCGAGTGTTTAAATTTTTAAAAATCAGTCACAGTAAGACACACTGCCACGAGTCTCCCTGAAAGCGCTCCCCCTTGCTTCAAACAACACACTCACCCTGTGGTTCTTGCCACTTGCGGCTGCAGCTCTACAAATCCTCTTTCGTGTCTCTAGTTGTGCTACCAAGGCTGCCTGAAAGTTAGGTGTGGATTTCAAACGCTGCCCTTTCGTTGGGAAGAGTTACAGTCGCACGGTGCCAGATGTGGTGACTACGGCGGATGAGGACACAGCGTCATACTTTCAGGAGCCTGCCTAAAAGTGGGTGACTGCGGCTGCAGCATTTATGGTATTTTTTATCCCACCCCCTAAAGACACTCAGGAATGAGGACTTGCAGAGCTGCTTCAGAGCGGCAGGGTGGATGCGATGAGGGTGCGCGTCAGCACCTCGACGAGAGAAACAGCCAGCCAACCTGGGAGACCAGGTGGGCCGAGGCCCCGCCCCGCGTCGCGCCAGTGACGTCACTTAGGTGACGCCATGTTTCCCCGCGCAGGCGCACTGCGTGGCCGGCGGGAGGCGGAGGCGTGGACGCAGCCGACCACCTGGGCGCCGGGGCTCGGACGGGGCGCGCGCGCATGGCCCGCCCCCCTCCGCCTGCGCTTGCGCTGCTGCTCCTGCTCGTGGTCGGCGCGGTCCGGTGCGAGGAGGCGGCCGCGACCACCGACTGGAGGGCTACGCTGAAGACCATCCGCAACGGCGTGCACAAGATCGACACGTACCTCAACGCCGCGCTGGACCTGCTGGGCGGCGAGGACGGGCTGTGCCAGTACCGGTGCCGCGACGGTGAGCGGGCCGCGGGCGAACCGGGTCTGGGCGGGCCGCGGGCGAACCGGGCCTGGGCGGGCGGCGCTGCCGCGGGCTGGAGGCCGCTGCGCCCCGACGCTGGTACCTTCCTTTATTTATTTTTACCGGAATTGCACAAAGTTGCGGTGGCGTTGCCAAGTCTTTTATGGCGTTGCGCAGAGTTGACTTGGAGAATTCCGGGAATGTTTAGCGCGATAACTTTACTCTGGTAAATGACCCACCTGAACCTTCAGAGCTAACCGAGGATTTTAAGAATCATGCCATATTCACTTTTTCCATAATTGGTGTTTTTTCTTCGGCAAAAGTGCAGCGAATGGGCCGGGGAGATAGCTCAGTGGAATAAGCACTTGCCTGGCAAGCGAAAGGACCTGAGTTCAATCCCTGGTTCCGCAAAAAAAAAAAAAAAAAAAGTGCAGCGAATGGATTGCGACCTTTGGACACACTTTGTTGAGGTCGCTTTGGCAGCTGGCAAACAGCCTAAGACTTGACAGTGGCCTCTCCTTGGAGCAGTGAACCCCCCTGTCCTTGTTGGTCAGTACTATGTGTTTGTTTCATTTACTCCTTGTGACAGTGTGTAATAAGTATTTCAGGCAGAGATTTGGAGCTTTTTACAATACTGTTTTGAATGTTTAAATATTTTAATACTTAGGAAATGTACTTTGGCTTTTGTTTAGAAATTTACTGTTAAGGTTGACAGATCTCGTTTCCAGTAAGATTAGCCGAGGAGGCCTGGGACTATTAATGCTGGCATCTGGGAAAAGTATAAAACTCCAGGTGGTTAGGGTAAAACCCGATTGTACGTATAGATGAGCTCTTCTTCTTCTTCTTCTTCTTCTTCTTCTTCTTCTTCTTCTTCTTTTTTTTTTTTTTTTTTTATGCGGAAGCGGGGATTGAACTCAGACCCTTGCGCTTGCCAGGGAAGCACTTACTCTACTGAGCTATCTCCTGCTTAAACGGAGCCTGTGTCATGTGGAACAGTGATGCTGCTGCTCACTGGGAAGGATTTTTTTTTTTTAGGAGTATCAAATGATTTTATTATCAAATACCGTTTTTTGATCATTCACTTTTCAAAAAAATGCAGTCGTGAGAACAGGAAACTTCTAAGACTCACTAGCCCTTACAGAACAGAAAGAAGCCCAGGACAAAGAGCCTGAAAGTGGTTATGCCTAACGTCTGGCTTTCTTGTCACCTAACAGCAGCATTTTTGTCACCTCTGATAAGGGAAAAGAAGCTGGCTAGAAGACTCTTGTACAAGAAGGTCACATTAATGTTAAGGCTATCGATGTTATTTGCTTGTACACTCTAGTGTGTAACTCTGACATACAGCAGCAAGTAAGCAGTGTCACATACCCACTCTTAGCTGAGCATACTGTCCTTAGTCTCTGAAGTTATCTGAGACTGTGTTCTTTCATCATAGCTCCTGTTTATCCGAGAGTGCAGACTCTAAAACCCATGTGAATGAAGTCTTATGTTCAAGTGTAAAAGTTTGTCTCAGAATCATGTCAGGTTGCTGTAGTGGTTATACTTCTGCATTGTCTACTGGGTGTCACACCCCTGCACAGGCTGGTCAAGTTGTGGCACAGTGCAGGGGCACATGAACAACTTTCTTGCTGCCAGACTTGCTCCCTGGTCAGTCTGGACTCTGCACCACAGTCAAAGCAGAGATCTTGAAATCAGTCATGACCCTGGCCGACTGAAGTGGTCCTCTTAAGTAAGAGGAATCCATTTCTTCACCATTAATTAAACAGAGCTTTCAAAAAGTGTCAGGCCTAGTGTTAGGAAACAGAGCTTGGGGTCCTGGCTTTGGGGCTGTGGTGAGGGCACCGGCATGGCTTCTTTTTTCTTGTCTGCCAGGAGCTCATGAATTGCGCCTTCCATGGCCTGAAGGTGTGGTGAAGTTCTGGATCCTCCTGAGATAGAATCCTGTTCACTCCTGCTTCCATTGTCCCTGATTGAACCACATTCTATCTCCGCCCATTTCGCAGTTGGTTCTTGTTCTTGGAGGATTCTATTCGCGCTGATGCAGATATATCGACACAAAATTGTCCATTTTCTGCCTCAGGTTTTGGTAAACTGGCTTGGTGTCCACATAGCCTGGCAGTCCTAGTGGAAGCTGTCCAACACGCTCCAACTGCTCCACAATGAGGACAATGGGCTGGGGATCCCTTGTAGGGGATTCAGATCAGGTCAATAGGGCCTCGGGCTCTTACTGCTGTCCCGACCCCCCCATTCCTCATCTCCCATGCCCCACCCTAGATCTCCCATCCTCCACCCACCAACTCACCCTTGTCCCCCTGCTCTGTGCCCAGGGCCTATGAGACAAACTGGAAGGCTTTTTCTTAGAGGCTGAGAGTCTAGCTTATACAAAGGTGGTGAAGGCCCCTAGGGAGGAAGTGGAGAGGTGCTGGTGGGGGCTGAGGAGGTGGTGGTACTAGGATGTTTTTCTTGTAGCATTCATTAGGAGGAATACTTAGGCATTCTTCGTCATTCTTAGTCATTCTCCTTTGCAGAATCACAGGTGTTAGCATCTGGGCCATGTCAGGTGTGATTCTAATTGAAGGTTTAACAGTGGACAAAGCAGATTCCCTGTGTGCAGAGCTTGTAGTCGGGGGAGAGATGGCAGTGCACTAACAAGCGGGTAACGCGGCAGACAGTGCAGTGTGGGGTGACGGTGACTGCCCCTGCTTGGAGACCAGTATGTCAGAAGACAGCAGTGTGGTGGGAGGAGTGGTGGAGCCAAGACCCGGCTTAGGTAAAATATTAGAGCAGAAATCTGAAAGTGGTAAAGGTGACCTTTTGGTAACCTGGAGAGAGAGCAGTCAGGGCAGAGGATGCCAGTCAGGTGCCAGTCCTTGAGGATGACTTGGTATCTGGCCTGAGCCAAAGGAGGTAGGGAAGACTTGGAAAGAGTCCCTGTCGAAAACTTAATTATGTGTCTCTTGCATGTAGAGTTTATTTATATATAAAATACTTAATTAAATGGATACTGTTCTTATTTAAAAGACTATATTCATCTTTCTGATAGGTTAGATGCTAAATTATAATGGCTCTGATTCAACATGGCCGAATCTCAGAATAATAGCCTATCTTCCTGATGACCACTTCCTCCTCCTTCCCCACTCCAGCTCTGCATACAACTCCCTTTTACTTTACCTGTGCACCCCACTACCCCACAAGCGAGCCTCCAGTCAACTCCTTGTGCATCCCTAGACCTGCCCCTCAAACTCCATCCCTATCAAAAGTCCAGTCTCCTCCTTCTTTTCTCAGGTGAGAGGATCTTCCCATCTCCCTTGGATTCTTTCCGAGCTCTCCTTGATAAAGCCCTTTTCCATCCTTTTCTTTTACTTCTGCTTCTCTGCTGCCGCCTGAAAAACTTAACACTTTACTTTTGTTTAATGATTTTCATCTTCTGTGAACCTCACAATATTTGCAGCTTAGAGCCAGGTCTGTAGTGTAAAAATCGCAAGTGAGTTTGAAAATTGAAATGGTGTGCTTCACTGAAGGTCTGTGTGTGTGTGTGTGTGTGTGTGTGTAAGTAAGTAAGTGTAAGTACTGTCTTCTCAGTAACTTTGTGGTCTGGATTCACCATGCTGATAATTCCAACCTGATGAAAGTTATCCTTTTAATTTCTTTACTGAGACCTCTCCTGGAGCAGTAACTCAACCTTTTTATCTTTTGGTGTCCAAGTGATCATCAGAACAGAACCACACAGGGCTGGTGAGATGGCTCAGTGGTCTAAAGCACCTACTTAGAACACGCTGAGCAAAGCACAGGGACTGCGGTTCAATCCCCCAGCACCACATGCCAGCCAGCCCTGCCCCCTGGTGGGCTGAGCTGCCCCCCCACATAAATAAATAAAAATTTAAAAAAAAAAAAGAACAGAGCCACACAGAAATAGATCCCAAAGCTAGAAGAGTACAGTGATTAAGGAATATTTTTAGTTGTGATAAAGAGATTAAGGGAGCTTAGTTTAAAAAGGAAAGGAAACTAATGGCGGTGGGAGGGTCAGAGTGGAAAGCACAGGCTTGTGTTCAGATCCCCTTGTTTGACCTAAGGTGTGGTACATGGAGCTGTGCTCCTTAGCTGCCTCCAGGGGTGGGAAGAGGGCTGTACTGGGAGTGAGGTTATTTAGGGGATCAAGTTTTTTTTCTGCTGGCATCAGAGTAGAGTTAAGCAAGTTTGCTTCGAAAACTGTGAAATGTTTTTTAGATTATGAATAAGTCATCATGACTTTAGCAATGGATACTTTAAGAGCTCCTTCTGGCTATTGTACTGAGAATTAAAAGAGGCAAGAGAGGCCAGGGAGAGTGATCCCTGCTGTGCCGTGCCTGCCCAACCCCTAGGTGTACTGAGACTGGTGGCATGCGCTTGGGAGGCTGAAAAAACAGGAAGATCACTACAGGTCCAATCTGTGTAATGAGACCCCGTAGACCCTGTGCTAGATACATTTAAAAAAGAAAAAACGATGTTCAATTGAGAGAGGCAAGAGGTGTGGGGAACCAGGGTGGAGACTGGGTGATCAGGAGAGAGATGCTCTGAAAGGCAGTGATGGATTTGATAAGTAGCTAGCAGAAGTGATGAGTAGCACTTGGATATGGGATGTATTTTGAAGGAAGACCCTGAAGGATTTGCTGATGTGTTGGGAGTAAGGTGTGAATAAAAAATGGTGCCACAGTTCTTGGCGTAATCTACTGAAAGGATGGAGTTGCCTTGGGCTGAACCGGGGAATGCAATGGAAAGGGCATGGTGGGGACATTAGGAAAGAAAGTAGGGTGCTTGTATACTTTTGAGAATGACGAGTGGAGTAGACAGGGCAGAGTAGATGGATGGGTTGTGGAACCAGTCACAAAGTGAGAGGCGTGGGGTTGTGCACAGACATTGGCCAAGTGCAGCTGGGATGTCCTTGGTCCCAGGAAGGGAGTGAGGATTGGGCAGGGGGATCACCAGGGAGACGCTCAGGGTCTCCTGGCTGCCTCAGT